CCCCGGCCAACCTGGCCTGGAATGGTCCCAGGGATGGGGCCTCCACCCCCTCTCTGGGCAACCCCTGCCAGGGTTTCACCACCCTCACTGGAAAGAATTTCTCCCTTAGATCCAGTCTAAACCTACTCTGGTTTAGTTTAAAATCATCCCCCCTTGTCCTGTCCCAGCTGGCCCTACTAAAAAGCTTGTCCCCCCCTTTCCTCTGGGCCCCCTTTAAGCCCTGACCGGCCGCACTCAGCTCTGCCCGCAGCCTTCTCTTCTCCAGGCTGAACACCCCCAACTCTCCCAGCCTGGCCTCAGAGCAGAGGGGCTCCAGCCCTCGGATCATTTTAGTAGCCCTCCCCTGGCCCCGCTCCAACAGTTCCATGTCCTCCTTGTGCTGAGGGCTCCAGAGCTGGGCGCAGGGCTCCAGGTGGGGCCTCACCAGAGCAGAGTAGAGGGGCAGAATCCCCTCCCTCGACCTGCTGGCCACACTTCTTTTGATGCAGAGTACAGTTGGCCTTCTGGGGGAAGCCGGGGGCCGCGAGAGCAAATCGGATTTGTGCCCCTTTTGCGGCCGCGGCTGCCTCAGTTCGGCCAGCGCCTCGTTGGTTTCAAGGAGTTGCTTTTGCTTAAATAAAGCTGCGTTTGCAAATAGCACCCGTGTAGTTCATCAAAAACTCCTCCACGTACCAACATCACGGGTGACGTTACCCGCAGGCGCTAAATGCACAGCGACCCTGAAGGGCTTTTCCATCACAGTAAAGCGATTTTATTTTTTTTTTTGCTAGCACGGTGCAGTTTATCTGCCCCCGTGGTTTAGGCTGCCTGGGAGGAAGGGGCAAATGCTCACTCCAGCGCGTTGCCTGGAAGCGCGAACCTTTCTTTGTGCTTCCCTAAAATTAAAAATCTTGATCTGGGGTACGGGGAAAAAGTTGGTTGCTGAACATCGCTGTGTTTTGATAGGCGTACGCGTGGGCATTGGCAATCTCGATTTCTGGAGTTGAAATGATAACGCCATGGCCCTTGGGAGGCACTGAGAGCAGCGGAAGGGAGCCTGCAGGTATAAACCAGAAAAATCTAGGCGGGGCTTAATTATGAAATAAAGTTAGAGCTCTCCCTTCCTCAGCAGTTTTGGAGTTTCAGTTTAACTGTTAAGAGTTCCCCTTCCTTTTTCCAGGGAAAACCCCGCACTTGTGTCATTTAGCCAAGTTGCTGTAATGCGTTTCTTAGAGACAGCACCTACTGCATTACGTGTTTAAAAATCTTCTTCCTTTACAGATCAAACCTTGCTCAGAGCTATCGTTTCCTGTGAAGATCTACTTCTGTGTCACTATTTTGTCTCTACTAAGTGTCATAGGGCTAACCATAGAGACACTTGTTCAGCAAACTGAGGAAGATTTCACCATTTCTCTTATTCAGTTAGTTGGAGTTGGTAAGAAACGTTCCATTTGTATTTTAAAACAAATTATTTATTTCCCAAAGCAGTAATTAAGCAGCAACTGAAGTTCCTTATTTCACTCCACTTGGCCTGATATGCTACACGTAGAACCTTCTGCTAGTTTAGCACTAACGAGCTAGATGCTTTTGCCATTGTTGCTTTTTCCAGTAGTATTTTAGGGAAAGGATCAGTGGTAGATGCTGGTGTCATCTAGAATACGTTCATGTGTGAATAGTGTGAAAAAATACTCAGGTTTCAGGAAGTTTTTCTGCGATTGGCTTTCTTACCAGTGTTCCATTAGGCAGATGTGGCAATGATTTTGCTTCCAGACAGCTGTCACCTTATGTAAGATATACTGAATGCTCAGCTATGACAGAAAGAGCTTACCATTTCCCCTTTTAATGTCTGCGCCGTAATATGCCGGGGAATTCAGAAGTGTCCACACTCCAAGGCTTGTCATAGAATGTATGCATGTCCCCTGACACAAGCCGTGCTTATACCCGAGGCGTACTTGGTCTCAAGGCACCTTCTTACATTGTGAGAAACCAAACATACATGGTTTGATCTGAAAGAAGAAAATGTTAAGTCATCTCTGTAAGGATATTGCTTCACCTGAAGTATTTTAATAAAAGAAAATAAGGACCTCATTTGTTTTAAAGCTATCTTTCTTTTTTTTGTCCAGTAATTTTTGTCCCACAGGAAGGAAAATCCACACTTCCTTGGATATTTCCAATTAGATCATCAATAGAAACTTATGTTCATATTCCTGGGTCCATTTCTATTAAATAGAAATGAAACTTTACGTGAAAATAAATACCACTGTAAGTATTTTAGGAAGTCCTCTTCAGCGGCTTTAGAAGGTTTTGGCTGTTGGCTTGCTGGGCAAACAGTGTGGAAAAAATAGACTCTGTGGGTGTAGCACCTTGTGTACAAGAGGTGTACATGCTCATTGTAAGCAGTCATTGCTTTCCAGCTTTCATGCTTTTACCCAGAGGGAACAAAGACAATAGATTTGTTCCAGATTCTATAATTAGACACAGGCAAACAATACTCTTATCCCAAAACTCTGGTTTGATTAGCAGCTTTTCACACAAGACTCAGCGTACCAACAAAAATTGCAATGTTAGAACAGACCATCGGTGCCTCCAATCTGTCACACTGTTTTTGTTAGCAACGGCGTGTTTTGTGCTTCAGAGAAAAATGAAGAACCTTCATAATAAACCAAGTGAATCACATGATGTTATCAATGGGGAAGTTGAAAGCACGCTTGCTAATCTATTTTTCCCCCTCCTACCTTCTGTTGATACTAATTAGTATTCTATGCTGCAACACACACACGGGAAGAAGTGCACACCTCTCACAAACCTCTGGTTTAAATTGGGAAAACCAGTGTGTTTTTAACACATTACTTCCAATTTCAAAGGTCTAATGTAGACAAAAGTTGTTGTTTCGACACATTAGGAAAGATAACATCGTTCAAGGAACATGTTGAAATTATTACTGGCTTACCTTGAGATTTTAAGATGGTGTAAGCTCACCTCCATAAGCACGCCAAAACCACACGTTTTCCACAGGGTAGACAAGGACTGACTGAACTGGTGGTAGTTCTTTAAAGAAAAATAGATGCCCCGGCTGTAACAATCTCTTGGATATACCACTAGAGATACTTACTTCAAAGAGGGTTTGGGATTAAGTTGTTGAAAAATGTTCATTTACCAAAAACAAGGGGCTGTCCTTGATTTCAGAAATGCGCGTATGCTATCTTGGCAAAAGTCTTAATGCTCAGAAAAAAGTTTGTTCTCAGATTATTTGTACAGACTTCCTCTGATTTAGCAGCAAAATTTGGAAAATAAGGAAATACTCTCTTAAATATTTCAGGTCTTCCTGAGGTCATAAGCATGCAAAAAATCGCATGATTCCCTTTGTAATTTGCCAAACATTTTGAGTTTTCTCAATCGCTGTTAATAAAAATGAAAAAGGAAGTTCGTTCACTAGAAGGTTTGTTTAGAGAGACCGAAGTTATTATGTTACTTTGAAAACAATGACGACACTTTGTCCCCACGTCCCAACCTAGCAAAACTAGAGTATTTGATGTGTGGAATCCAGGAAGCAGCCCTCTGGAAAAATAAAGCTATCATTACTTTATCTGTGGTAAGAATTAATGGGTGTTTGCAGGAGCGTCTACGTAAGAACAAAGCACCGATTCCTGTTTTTGTGAAAGGAAAGCCTTTTCCTTATTTGAGCTTTGTCAGAATGGATGTGTAGAGTTCAACAGTGACAGCTAACTGTGGTGTTAAGAGTGGTGGGGTTTGATGTATTTTATAAAAACGTAACTCAGAACTTTCCCAAACCAATTCTTTTCTGGGCTACAGTTTACGGGGTGGGGTGTTTCAAAATTTCCACAACAAAACCAAACTGTTAGGAATCCGGTCTGACTAAGTTCAGTTCAACACACGAGCCATTTGCGGTGGTCAGAACCACACAAACAGTACTGTAGAGGTACGTGTAAGAGTAGTGAGTTCCTTGTTAGTCACTTGAAGTACTCTCACTGGGAAGGTTGGGTAATTCCAGTTCTTTAATAAAAATGGTGTTGCTTCATTTAATTCAAATACACTATTCAACATAGTGTTCAATACACTATTAATAGAATAGCATACTGCAGCTGCCAATTAATTTGGACAGCTAATATGTTGCCATTTGCAAAGTGTTTTCTTCACAAGTTATTTAAAAAGCTAACAAATTATTTCATTTCTTGCATGCCAAACACAGGGGGGAGTACTCACTTTAAGTATCTGATTCAGGCTCCGTGGTAAGAATAAAGATACGCTCTTGACTGAGGAGCCCGAGTTACACGGTCTTGATGCTTCCGTTTGGTCATCTGGATCAAGCATATGGAAAAATTGCACCGTGTGCAATCTGTGTTCTCCTGGTAACTGCCCTTTCCTTCTCCTTCCCAGTGTTCTGTGTGTACTATGTGACTAGAGGAATCCTGCAGGAGAATCGCCAGGAGCTCATCGTCTTTGTTCTTTCCATCTTGCTAGTGATGTTCCGTTCCGTTGTCAACTTCACCGTTCTCTCTGCTGAGCAAAAGCCGAAACTCCTGGTTAGTCTCCTGGCTTTAATTAACTTTGCTTTTTTCCACATCTTGGATTTGAAAATCTTAGAAAGGCAAGATATCTGTGATAGGGGCACTGATAAACAGAGAAAAATCAGGCTGAATTAATCCTACCCTCGAGTAACAAAACGTGCACCTCCACAATTGCAAATCTGTTTCTCTGAGCTATGCTGTGGGTTTCTTTATGGCAGTATCTGAAAGAAACATAAACACCAAAGTATTTTACTCACACAGGATTACTGCAGAAGATACCCTTCACTTTTCCTACTTTGCTTCAGGTTTATGTCTATAAAACGACTGGCCTAAAGCCACGTAAATTTAGCTTATGAACAGAACTGGAATCTCAAGTCTACAGGCAAGGACATTGCCATTAGCCCCACCGCTCCATCCATGCGGTGATGTGGTTTTGAGAGAGTTATGGTAACCTGCTGCAAGGCAACACAAAGATACAACATGCTAGGGGAGGTACTGCCATTCCAGGTTATCTTGTTTGCATTTCTAATGATAAAATGTAATACAAAGATTTCATTCTATGCGATGCCAAGATTTGTAGTTAAACATTCATTTGCCGTGCTTCTCAGAAGTCCTTCCCTTCTGTGGTCACACGTTTATCACAAATGTGAGATGGAGGTTCCTTGCTGTGAAGTCATCCAGAAATTATCTTTGATAGAAGGGATAGCAACCAAGCTAGGAAGGTGCCGCAAAGCAGAATTTGCCTATTCCATTTACGTATTAATTGTACATTTAGTTAAAAATACTTACCTACAGCAAACTGGGCTGCTAGGGTCAATAAGGAACAGGCATCAGAGATGGAAATTACTTTAAAGTATGCATCCCAGACATCAGTTTATATATTAAACAAGAACCTCGGAGTAAAGCCTGGTGTAGAAGGTGTACTATTAAGGACTTATTTTTACTACTATAAAAGTAACCTGGATTACTGTAACTCCTACTTCCCAATCAAAATTTCTGAACCAGAATAAGGCATGCTGGTAGAAATATTCTCGTATCAATGTAATTATGAAGGACGCTTTGCCAACTTCAGCCATCTTTAAAGCAGCAGACAGTGTGAATGCTAGCAAAGTTGTGGATACAACCCAGACAAAACCCAATGTTTTCCAAAATTTATTAAGTACAGCGTTCAGAATAACCCGCTGTCCCCACTTGGATTATGCCATACGGGAAGCTTAGAGCCCATCCCTGCCAAAGCAAGCTGTTTCTTCAAACTGTATAAAACCTCAAGCAAAACCTTACTCAGAGTTGTCATGATATTACAGGGAGTGCAAAGGTTATGTTTCTCTTAACAGTTGTAAAACTACTACACTGAGGGCAATGCAAACCAAAGTAGCCAACGTGAGTTTACAGTTAATACCAAGTGGTTGCAACAAATGGCAAAAATCATGGCCTGACCTTGCCACTTAACAGTGTGGCAAACTGTTGTCTAAAAATGCTGTTCATAGGCAGCCTGGGTCTCCTTACTCCTTTATGCTTTTATTACCAGTTAGCACATTTTAGGTTAAAAACTGTCCCTGTTTTGGCAGTGCCAGTCATATCCTTATTTCTCTTTCCCATCAGGCCCGCTTCGTTCTGATCCTCTTGGTTGGCTCCTTTGATGTGATCTGTGCCATCATCCTCATTCAGAGTCAAAGCATGATGGCCTTTCGAGTGGGTGGTGCTCTAGAAAGCCTACAGTCTCAATACTTCATGCTGAACCTCTGTTTTTCCATGTTGACCTTTGATCTTCAGGCACAGGTACAGAACTCTCCCCCCTGGGTTCCCGTTTTACCCTGCTCTTGAGAATATCCTAGAATTAGACAAGTTGAGCTGAACTATTAACTTCCTAGGACAATCCTGCCTTTATCTTACCTTTTAGATAAGATTAGCTTATTAAAGGTCATCCCTCCAGGTGTTTGCTATAGGGAAGCTTAGTTAAAATCCATAAAAATTAATCAATGTATATTTTATCGTTGTCCTGCCCAAAAGGAAAACTGAATCTTATTTTTGGGAAGTGTGTCCACAAAAACAATTGCATCCAGAAGCTCCAACCCAACATGGCCTCCTAAAATAAGAAAGATTATCATGGCACAACATCTCAGCCTACAGCCTCTTGCCTTCTAGCCATCCTAGCCATCTCCTACGTTTGAGAAAATGATACTGGGATGGGAGAGGAGAGCCTGACCTAGCAGGGCAGTCGAGGTGAGATAGCAACCTGCAGCTACAGATAAGTGAAGCGAACCCAAGATCCGTTTAGAAAGAGTTTGTACTTCTGTGCACCACCCTTCATTCTCACTTTACTACATCATTACCTTATGCTTTATCTGGAGCACATCTTACTGCCTTCCGTGTTCTTTGTTGTTGCTGATACGGCACACAGGGAAGTACGCCTGTCCTTGTGTCCCATTTCATACTATCTACAGGTTTTGAGGAAAAATGTTAGCCTTTAGATCTGTGCCCAACTTGCTATCGCCGGGAGTTTGTGTCAAATATTTTTTGGTGGGCTGTATGGTCTCAAACTATTAATTCTACCAAATCTTTGCCTCTTCTCTTTCAGCTCTGCTTGTGTGTTCTGCTGATAAGTCTGCACGAGATCACCCTTCTACATAACATCATCTCAGCAACAGGCGTTGTTTGGGCCTGCCTGAAGATGGCCATTAGCGTCATCGCAGTAAGTGTTAAGCTAACAGCGACACTAGCAAGAATAGTCAACTTCTGAGACTACAGGTTCTCACCCTGGGCAATTACCACAGGCTGGGAAGTCACAGCCATCCCATCCCATGTAATACTGCTAAGTGGAAGGAGCCAGAATGGATCCCTGCAGAAAACAAAGAGCACCACCAACAGTGAAGTCAGGTTTCTTATAAATCTGTGTCTCTCAGCTGAGCACGCAGGATGGAACAACGTCACACTATCATTATTCCTTTCTGAGGGGCACTGTTTCCTCCAAGTTGTGACGAAGATGGATATACAGACACAGTGAGACTGCATAGGTCTTATATCCTTAGAAACCACACCAAAAAGATGAGTGGTCTTTTATTGGGGCAGCTTCTTTAAAGGTGAGCAACAGTTGTCAGGTTACCAATGATTTGTGAACTTGAAATGTGTTTTTTCATGTCAGTCAGACTGAACTTCCTCTGAAATCCTGAAAGCTCTGTCCCAAGAACAATCGCAGAATGAGGGCCAAAGTATATCAGATGTGCAAGTCTTTTATTACCAGGAAGACATTTAGGGAGTTTTGCGTTTGTTGTTTTCTTAGGCTCCTTGGGTGTTTGCTTTAGCCATTCAGACAATTTCCTGGCAGCTGAAATACAGCTTTCCAAGTGTTTTGATTGCTTTCCTTGTTAGAAAGTGGAGCTAGCATCAAGCACTGTTGCTCTTAAAATTCTTCAGTAACTTTAGGTGAATAGTTGCACAGAATCATCTTTCTCCTGGACTTAGGAGTGTTCTGGCTGCTAACAGCTATCCAGCAGGGAAAAATGGAGACAGGACCAACTGCGAGTGTGACGCTTAGGAGTGCAGAGAGGGGTATTGCAGCTTGGTTTCCTCCTGGGAGCTCCTTAGGGAGCACCTTCCTGAGGCACTGGATCTTTGCTTTCAGTTAAATTGTATCAGGTATGGAAAGAAGGGGCAATTAGGACCACGTCTGTTTTCCTGCCAAGATTAAAAGTGTAAACCTTTCAGCTACTTTTCCCCAACCATCAGAAACAAAGTTGATATGATCAGTTGCCATTCACAGATTATGAGTTCTTTGCTTCTCCTTGATTTGCCTGTTAGGCATTAAAAGAGGCACTGTTTCTTGTAAGAAAAGAAAGAGGCGCTTCAGTTAGATGGTCTCGTGTCAACAACAAACGTGTTTCTTAATAGTTCAGCTAGTTACAGTAAAAGTCCTAGGGATAAGTACATATTCTTGCCCTTTGCTCAAAACTGTCTACGTTAGAACTACTTGAAAGCTACTTTTTACCCAGTCTAGCTTCGTAACTGACTTCTCTGCTGGGAGAAGTTAACAGCTTCTTGTCTAACTAAGAAATAGCAAATGTGAAATTAATGAAAAAAAAAATTAGTGCTGTATTTCAGTAGCTGGCAGCACTGCAGGGCAACAGTAACTTAGAAAAGGTGGGTGCTTTTCATGAGTGTCTGATAGCTTTGCATCCAAGGTAAAAATGAGTCTATTTTAGGCTAGAGCATGTCTACAGTTTGACAGAAGGGTCACAGGAGGAACTCCTTTTCCTTACCCTGTTCAAACAAGTTTTTCCCTATCAGCTTCTAGCAGATAATGCAGCAGTAGACAAACACGTATCATTGTCATGTTCGGTGCTCTCAGAATCCACACCTGCTATGAGGCTGTTACGCAAGAAAGGGATGGAGCCTTTCATAATCCACCAGAAAGTATAAGCATAATAGAAGGGAAAACTTGGAAACGCCTCATGCGCAGTCCTTCCTGGTAACCGCCGCACCTGAAAGCACAGCTAAACCTCATGCGCCCTTATTTCTGTGTTGAAGCACATGCCATTTCACAAGGGGATTATTCATGATTTTTCTTCTATTTATACACATGCTCTCCCATTTCACAGGATGACAAAATGGCAAGGGTTGGAAGGGACCTCGGGAGATCACCTAGTCCACCCCCTCAAGCAGGGTCACCCAGAGCAGGTTGCACAGGACATTGTTCAGGTGGGCTTTGAATATCTCCAGAGAAGGAGACTCCGCAGCCCCCCTGGGCAGCCTGGGCCAGGGCTCTGTCACCCTCAAAGTAAAGAAGTTGTTCCTCACATTCAACTGGAACCTCTTATGCTTCGGTTTGTGGCCATTGCCCCTTGTCCTGGCGCTGGGCACCACGGCGAAGAGTCTGGCTCCGTCCTCGTGACCCCCACCCTTAGGATATTTGTACGTGTTGATGAGATCCCCTCTCAGCCTTCTCTTCTTCAGGCTAAACAAGCCCAGCTCTCTCAGGCTTTCCTTGTAGGGGAGATGCTACAGTCCCCTCATCATCTTTGTTGCTTTACTTAGTGGATTTATTTTTCCTATCTCCATTTTTTATTTTCTCTCTTTTCTCCCGTTAATTACTAATTCTCTCTTTCTCCCCCCTCTTGTTTCTCAGCCTTTGTTTTCCTTTCCCTATTGGTCTTATCCTAAGAGGAGCACTATGCAGTACCACACAAAACAGAGACAATAGTAGAAGTGGCAGAGAACAGACAAACTCCCTTAGGGGAGGGACAACTCCCTTTAATGCTTTTGTAGAGGTTCATATATTGACCGTTGCAGAAGGATCAGCATTAGTTTGGGGGGGAATCTATGGTTGATCAGATGCACCAAATCTTATCATAGCATTGGCACGGTCACTGCTCTCATTCCCAGTGACCCAGCTGTTTTTCTTTTGTTTGCTCAGACCTGGCCTTCCACTTCAGGACTGCTGAAAGTTGCTACCTGCTGGAAAGAAGTCCATCGTTTCTTCTTTCCCAAGTCCCAAGCTTAATTGTGAAACAAAATTTTCCTGACAGTTAAATCCTCTTGCTTCTCCCACATGTTAGTTCTCAGTGACTTTAATCCTCTGTAGTAGAAACAAAGGTAGAGAAAAAAGTCACAGAGCGCTGTCTGTTAGCTATGAAAACATTTATGTTTTAGAGAAAAATCTGGGCGTACCCAAAGAAAAAGTACATCATCTTAGATGCAACTCAGAAGAGTCAGCTGCTTCTCCATTTAAGCTGGCTGGGAGCTGTACTGTAAGTATTAGAAGGCAGAGCTCAAGAGGATGCTGAGATGGCTCAAATCACACACAGCTGTCAGGATGTGCCCATGAAACAACCAGTTCTGATTTCACCAAGATCACTCCTGGCCCAGCTCCGTGGAAAACAGGTCATATTTCCTGCTAAAAAAACATAGGTAGAGAAGGCAAGTGGAGAGCAAGGTTACAACTGAGAACTCAGCTAGACCAGCGCTTGAAATGCTATTGAAAAAATCAACTATATGTAGCCTTTATAAAGTAAAGCTGTATATATCTCATCTTATTTTACAGATTTTAAAAGAACTGAAACCTCTAGTGTGGATTTTTCTGAGTCAGAACATCCCTGAAGTAGTTTATCTCATCTACCTGCTTTACACGGTAATTTATCAAACTTACTTGCTTGATAATAGGGAGCAAGGCTGGAGGCCTCCTCTTCATTACTGGATCCTTGGGCCCAAAACATGGTGCCTCATTCCTGAGCACAGCCCTTCACTGCAGCTCCTGTTAGAATCAATGAGACCAGCAGGCACGTCCTCATGGATCCACTTTTCAAGACAGGAACCATGTCAAATTGCTGTTGAACTGATTACTTAGAGGGGAGAGGCCCTGGAAGTCTCTGTAACTGGCAAAGCATTTGGAATGATTAGGGAAAGATGCAACAAAATCTTCCAGTACAAGATACACAGCTCCTCAAAAATGCCTCCCCTCCTTGACAGGAGTCTCAAGTGGCGCCAGAACATTTGGCCATCTGCAGGGCCTCAAGTCATTATCTTTTAAAGAATTTTTTAGGCAGCACCCCCAGCTGTTGATCCTGATGTAGCCAAAACACAAGACAGTGCAAGCCCAAGAAACTCTAGCGTTAGGCATTTTTTTGGCACTCTAATAGCGATATATCACTTATCACTGGGGCACCCCAGCACCTCCCACAACACATGTAAAAGGAGGTGAGGAAGAAGAAGGGCAAAGCAGATTGTTCATCCTGGGAAGGGCTCGAATGCTGATAGCAGCCAGTGTTTCTCATACTTCACATAACTAGTCTCCAGATACTGATAAAAGTCCAGTGGCTGCAGTCATCCGAGTCCTTGGGGTTCTGTTTGTTAAAGTACGCAGTCAAATCAGCTTCTTCCAGTTATTTGCTGGCAAAGTACAGAAGGACCACACACTGTCTTTGGTGGCTATACTTTATGTGCATTGCAGTTAGCAAGAAAAGTACAGGTGGTGGCATCTGACAACTGGGAAATAGCTAGGTCTCCTTACGTTTTTGCACGGCAACAATGAGCACGCAACAGTGCTGAGCAAACGAAGGCATGGACACGCAATACTCCTCTATGCTAGAAAGATCTGTAATATAGTCACTTCTCCAAACCAATTATTTTTAGCATCTTTTATCTCATTACCTGAAAGGCAAAATTGCAACAAACAAACAAAAAAAGGGTAAGTAAACTGCATTTACCATTAATTACTTCAGGTCCGAAAAAGGTGCTAGATCAACTCTATATAGTAGCAGCTTAATGTTTAAGCAAAAATATGGGAAACTGATATAGGAAAACTGATACAACGTAATAGACAAACTAACTGCACCGAAACTGGCCAAGACATCCATAACCTGCCTTGATTTGGGATACACACCACTGGGTTTGTTAACAAATCAAAGTAGTCAGAACTGTGCTTTTTGTAATCTCATCCTGATAATTACTAGGCCTGCCAGGGCAGTGACTCAGACCTGTAGGAAGGGGGAAAAGAGATCTTAATATCCTGTTTTTTTGCAGAGGCCTCTTGTCTTAGTATTAACATGCCTGATCATACCTCGTTCATGGGAGCAGCCATCCTTCTTTAATGCAGCAGATAGCTGCAGGATATAAATATTGTTATTTTTAATGAAAAGTTGCCATTTTCTCTGTATCAGAAGCCTCAAAAAAGCACAGATTAGGCAATTGCTAATGTCATAAGCACAATACTGAGGCTAGCCATGAATGAAAATGAGATCATGAAGCCAGCCCCAAGACATGCATGACAATAACAGTACAATGACAGCCAGGGAACATAACTTCATCCTGTATTTTACAGTGGAAACAGACTGAGATGTAAGATGTGGTCTGGTTTCCTTATCTCCAGCTTAATCGTTTTTTCAATCTGGGCACAATACTGTTTTTAGTTGCCTTTAAAAATGCAGAGATCAGAAGGTATAATGCATTTAGCTAGGGTCAGCCAGGGAATCGCATAATCAGGAAAAAAAGACAATTTAAAAGTGACCAGGTTTCCCCCCCACACACACACACACTATCTAGTGACTTCTTTCAGAAATTTAGTGGTTGATTGCATTTTACAGCTTCAGGGGTTTGTGGCACTAGGTGTTGATTGTTGTATGTCTCCATTTTCCTGCAGGTGATAAAGGAGTGGGGCAAAGGGAATTCTTACACGCTGGAAGCTGCTTTCGTTACTGGCTCTTGCATTTCTGTTGCAATAAAATCTGTTTTGTTTTGGGCACTGATTCACGTCTACCGCAGCTTTGGGCAGGGACTGAGAGAAAGAAGTAAGTGCTTGAAAAGGTTAACTTAACTACAAAGGCTGTAGCCTATTGTATCACAGTCACAATTAAGCAGACAGCTTGTCGGGCCAGGAAAATGGTTAAGGGTAGTCACAGCAAAAGGCAGATCCCTCAGGACATCAAGCATTACCACAGCCTCAGAATTTACTGGCCTGACAAAGCTCAGAAGCTTGGATGGAACTTACGTGATCTCTCCCTGAAGAAAATTGATATTAGTCAAAGTTGTTTCCAACCTATGCAAGAATTGCTGCCATCCAGAAAGAGCTACCTGTGTGGAAAAATCTCTATACAAGATAAGTGTAATTTTTCTTCTTTATCATGCAGTATAACTGCCTTATAATAACCAAAAGAGACAGAAGAAAGGGACCTAGAGAGCCACTAATCTTAAACTACCCAAACCTCCTTCTACATGAAGGACATAAATGCTGCTGCGAGGCATTGACATTGACTGATCTTCCTCTCTTCCCACAGTGTTTTCTTCCTATGGAAGGATCGACTCCTGAGCATCCCCCTCCTGTTCCACCTGCAGCTCTTACAGAGTGAAATCATAGCTGGGCAAGTTCTGATCAAGTGCTTGCCTCCAGGACGTAAGATAATGGGTCGGTTCCACAGAGGCAGGGGAAGTTGCTAAGAAAAATGTCTATACATTTCTTGGTTTGTATTGTGCTAGGGAAGCATAGCAGTGCAGCTGGTAACTTAGTTTAAAAAGCAAAGTGCACTCGGGAAATTAACAGTAATCCTCTCAATTCAATGAGTTTTGCTGACAGGATAATGCATTTTTCACTCCTCGTTTTCCTGATGTTGCTTTGTAACTGCAGGAGGTTCACAACATGCATGTGAATAGAGAATGTTGTTAATATAAATGCTGTTTTTCTGGATATACACAAACATAATGAAAATAATTTGCACACCCGTCTCTCATTACTGAGCCTAGAAGTGGCTTGCCCTACCATCACTTCTCAACTCAGATCTGTTGCTGAACAGAGGTTGAGCCCCAGCGTTGTTTTGATGACGTCTGTTTTTGATGATGTTTCTGATGACGTTTCAAGAAGAAAAATCTGGCTGAACAGAGGTTGAGCCCCAGCGTTGTTTTGATGATGTCTGTAGTCCCTGATCTCCACTCTGGCTGTGTGATGGCCTAACCCCAACAGAACAGCTAGGGCTCCTCTTCCTCCTCTGACTTCAGAATATTTCAAATTTTTTTTTTTTTTTTTTTTCCAAATCCCAGCTACACATGAAAACTACACAATGTAATCTCATGCCTTCCTACAGTGTGTCTAACCGATGTGCCATTCCATACACAAGGATGACTTAAAACAAGCCTTTAATCTTGTAATTTAAATGTTTGGTATTTTATTGATTGGAACCTTTAGCTACTGGCTGTCTATTTTTTAATAAAGTATAAACACAGTTTGTGCACAGATTGTTATTTCTCACATCAGCAGCATGAGTTCAAGGGGAAGTGTGTTCACAAACTGAGTATGGAAGAGGCTGGAACTGTGATTCACATGTGCTGTGAGCACTGCCATAATGTTCCTCTTTCGATACATCTTTAGCTTGCAGGTGTCTGTACACTGCAAAAAGTAGTTAAAATAGTTTATTGCAGCTTATTAGGGAAATTTACAAGGACGATATCAGAACTTCTATAGAAAAAAATTCTCACCCTGGTCTTCTAAACCTGAAACAAATCTATTTTATAGCTAGCACAATGGAGGCATGAAGAGGTTAAATGTCTATGGCCAGACTGCATACAGCTGACAATATCAAGAGAAAGCACGAGAATACCAGCTGATGACCGTGACTTCATTCCACAACTCAAAATGTGACTATGGATTGTTGCTGAAACGGAGGAACACAATTAAGCATATTCAATCCTTTTCTAAAACAAGCAAACATGCAGCAGGTCTTGCCTAGAGCAAGACCAGCAAGGGAAGACTTCAGTCTTGCGGTAGGCCTGTACTCGGTCAAAATGAGCTGAAGAGAATAGGCTTGTGCTACGCCCCTTTTATCTTCATAGCAAGGAGACAGCAGAAACAACTGTATCACTAGAAGGAAAAAAAGTTATGGTTACTTTCAAATGTTTATCTCCCCAAAAGCAGATATGTATTGTTATGCCTTGGGGAATTAACCTTCATATTTTCACAGAAAAATGTTCTTATTTCAGCCTAAGGTCTTGTTAAGTTCCTGGGGAAATCTCCCTGTTCTTTTTCACAAGGTCTTGAAGTTAATACTGGGCAGATAAGAGCTACTAGGCCCAATCTGTGAAAGTTTCCCAATACACAATCCTGTCATAATCTGCAGACAGTGTCTTTGGCCTACTCCAAGTTGAAGCACTTTATTTTTTGCCCAACCATCCTAATCCTGGATGTAGACAATCATTAAACCGACTGGTTCAGACAACCAACTTCACATTTGCTATTACTAAAGCAGGAGATTAATCCAGGTAAATCCAAAGTTAACTTTGGATAAATCCAAAGTTACTCATCACATTTTTTTATTGGTATTCACCAATAGAAGAGGGAAACAATGGGAACAAATCACACTGTACCAAACAAATGGAAGCTACTGCTCTGCAGGTCATCAAGAACTTCCTCTGTCAAAAACATTTAGGAAGTTTTACCCACGATGATAGGTAAAAGGAGATTTCAGATTTAGAAAATTTGCACAAATTCTTTACACAACACCTGGTAAATACACAAACATTTCCCCTTCTTTGCCCAACCTTCTTTTCTATACTTTATGAGAAATCTCTCAGGAACAGGCTACTTTTTCCTATGCAGTAAAGTAAGTGCACCCAACAGGAAGAAAAAGTCCAAACCACTCATATGCTTCATTTTTGCATTATTTTCTACCTTTCTTTGTTCAAGCCTTTGAGTTCAATTTTTCATTGTGCATTACTGAAAAAACCAAATCAACTTGCTATTTTCCCATCACTACAAAGCACTGGTAAGCTCTAATTGCACTTCTCTGGGTATGGTTTCCTGCTTTTCAGTTTGAGGACAATACACGAGACCCAACTCTTCTTCCCCTTTGTGTTCACCCTTAAAAAAACCTTCAAGCTGCTGTGCGCATGCACAACAGCTGATACGAATTTGGATTCCAGAAAAGTTAGAAGAACTGCACAGAAAGACCAAGGATAATTTGACAAAGTAAGGAGGAACATTTAGGCCTTGCAATCCTGTGCCCCACAGTAATGTCATTAATTGGCATGGCTAGTTCCAATTGTCTTTAGAACATAATCATGTTCTACAAAACAAATCCTAACACCACTGTAAATGCTATTTGCTTCTTTGTCACTCCTTTCATTAGCAATGCAGGAAGTCATCTCGCAGTTGCACAAGGAACATGACACTGGCACCACGAGGTAGGACTGCTGTACAAAAAGAGACCCAGATTACATTAAATTCAGTATCTCAGGGAACTGCAGCAACAAGTGCAAGCTGTGTTGACCTTCACATCCAAAACGAGAGATTTTTTTGTACTTCCTGAGATGGCTGTAATCCATACTGCCTACATGAACAATTTAGATTAACCTACGTGTCGGTACCAACATCCATTTCAGCTTATCGTGTAGTCACACTGCAGGACAGGGCAAAACTAGAAAAAGATGGCCTCAAGCTTCACACAAATTTATGGCCAAATCTTCCTATTTTAGGCTATTTAAGTTCTCCTAACTCTTAAAAACTCAGGGTAAATCGATACAGCCATTTTTTAAATCAGCCCAGCTGAACTGATTTTGTGCCAAAATTTTTGATACCTCAGCTTTGGAAAGACTGGGGGTGGGAGGGGGTGGAGAGTAGTTTTTGCTGGTTCAAAAAACTACGGTGATTACAGCTCTCAATGCTAGGACTGGGCCATTTAAACTGAAAACACTAAGAAGCCTTCATTCTGGCAAGACAGGACTAACAAACTGCATATAAACTATCTCAAAAGAATCATCTGCAAAATGAGGGCCCAGTCTTTGGCAGTGCTATTTCCCTGCTCTATGTATAGGCGATAGAGTGCCACTGTCACAGGAATGGTGGGTTACTGCTTTGGCCAGGGACAGCAAGCACTTGTCACTAGCCAGGCCTGAGAAGATGGAAAACTCTTTCTAAGGTACCTTGTAAAAACAGCTGTATTAGCTGCATAAGATATCTCCTCACATTTATGAACCACTTGATGTGCATGAACTGTTGGAATAGGTCACAGAATAATTATGAAATCATAAAAAGACTCTTGATCATTAGCCACAAGTTTCATGGAAGAAGTGTCTAGAACTTGGTCACAAGGTGCAAAGGCAAGGGCAGGATGGGCATTTTAAACTACATTTTCAATCTTAAACTTACTAGGTAACAAATTATCTGCGATTATCTCGGATTATTGCCCTTATCTATTTCTTTCTTCACTTTGCTACTCTGGGGCCTTCAAAAAAGTAGCTAATGTAGCCCAACTAGTTGCACAGAATATTAGTTTCAACTTGCACGGCAAATCCAGCTTTTATTTTGAAACCTTTGAGAAAAGACTGGTATCAGACATATACATTCAAAAAGCCCTTAGGTGTATTTCTAGTAAACAGACACTACTGCCCCATCAGACATGTATCAAAGACCCACACTGGACATTTGCCTTCCAAGCAAGTAATTGTGTATACCTAATTTTATATTCTCAACAATCAAAGTGCCGCTTTACAAATCCAACTTTACAAAAAGATTTTATTGAAAGGATTGAAAAATATTTGTTTTCAACAATATTTAAAACAAGTTTTCAAAGCATTAACAGTATGTAACAGGATTTTTCCTCTTTTAAAAATTCAGTACACTGCTTTATTCCATACTACATCAGTTGTTAATAACTTCTTAAACTCTCTACTATAGAATAACTTTAAAAAAAAAAAAAACCCAAATTAATTTCCAAGCTTAAATTTTGGCCCTTTGTAGACTGGAAAGGATTTGTAGGTACAGTGATGTTTACAAACCCTTATATTAGAAACACTGCTCTTAATCAGCAAAAACCTATTTTACTAGTACAGTTTAAACAAGTTACTTTGAGTAAGCTACATCAGCAAAATGGGCTTTTATTGCCAATATAACCAAGTCTGCATTACAGCTTTTTTTTTTTTCTGGTTCAGCTGTGGTTTGAACAGAAGTTACCCACACTAAGTAGCTAAATAGGCAAAACTCGAGTGCTGTTTAAACCTTGCTAGCCTGCTTGTGAATTGCTCGTTTGCGGATTAAAGGCCTTGAAAAGGGACTTTGTACAGTTAGATAAATTTGTCAAGTATTAACACAATTTGGGTTGATATAAAGCAGCTAGTACAATTATAATCAACGCAGCTTTCTGAAGAAAAAAGCAAAGACTAAAGCCATCATGTGACTTTCTTGCCCTTAGTCAGTGACTGCAGCTCTCTACTTGGCTGATCAGTGATCCAAATAAGATTGTTATCAAGCAGGAATAATTGTACAAGCAAAACTGCAGAAGCCTCAAAGCCAGTAATGCAATCGCAGTACATGATAAATTTAAAGATGACTCCTAATCTAGATCTAATCTAGAGAAAGTAGTTAGTTAAGTTTTGATTACAGATTTCATTAACTATACACTCTGAAAATTAAAGTTCGGCAATTTAGTCAATAATAGCTTTACTATTATAAAAAGCATAAATAAAAAGTGCTGAATATAGTTTTATCTTTAAAAAAATACTAGATAAGGCTCATTAATCATTTCGCCTTGCCTCCGCAAAATGATTTCCACTTCCTAGCACGCCACTTCTGCTTGTTTTCCACTTACTTAACAATACATTTATATGGCCACTATACCCTGTTCCTTCTCTCAATTATTGCATGTTTAAATAAAACAGTTTCAAACCAAAACTCTGACACTTCTATAGTTCAAAAAGTAAACAGCTATTAAATAACTGAATACTCCACCTAAGAAACCCGTAAGCAGCTTCAAAACAGTGATAAAACAATTACTGCAGATTCAAGTGAAAGATAAATCCCAAAAGCTATCTGGATATTCTCCAAGAAAGCACAAAATTCATCTATTTAGACCAAATGAAACCAATATTCTATTTTACAAAATTTACAAACTGAGTATTAACACACTTTCATTGGGATTTGTATCATTAACCAGGAGTTTGCTTCTCTCTTACGGAAAAGTGCTCTCACCTGGATTTAATAAAATTAGACAGACTAGGGCAGCATCCAAAATGCAAGAGACATTATTTAAACCATCAGAGGACAGCAGGTCGGGCACAGTTTGGAAATCAATACATTTCCCATTACCACTTTGGACCACATAAACAACATAAGACAATCATGAAAAGTTCAACAGAGCTTCTCACTCCACTTTCAAGGAAATCCCACCTTAATCAGTAAATTAACTCCTCCACAATATTATGCCATAGGCTGAAATTTAACAGATAATATCCATTCCTTTAATGACCAATGCAGCAAGACTTTGAAAATGCTAAAGTTTGGATAGTTATGATCATGAGACTGCACCACACAGAACATAAATGTAAACATTATACTTGGGTTTGATATTTTTCAGTTAAAGTACAGTACAAACCCTTTTTTCCCAACTCGGTTTTTTGTAGGTTTTTGTGTTTTGTTTTGTTTTTTTTCTTTCATAAAAGCACATACAATAAAATATGTACATAGAGAAGTTAGAAACGTTTGAAAGCATATTAAAAAAGTAAATACGAGACTTAGAATATCTTGAGTGTGCTGAAGGCACCATTGCTACTCTACTGGGAATGTGTCCTCTCATTATCAGCCTACCAATGCAGTATCCCTTCCTGTACTACTCAGCACCAAGAGTTGGAAGGTACCTATGGAAATTGAGGGCTTTCAGGGCCTAGTATAGGATATTTTTTTTCCTTCAAGACAATAGTGGAACTAGGTAATATAGTAGTAACTGAAGTCCAGATTCTTCTTGAACACTCGGAGAAGTGTTACAGTCTCTAATGCTACCATTTATTCCAGAGACTCAAACAAAAATAATAAGAAAAAAACCCCAACACGTTGATGATTCCCACCAACAGGAACTAGAGCTATAAACTAACTCAGCTACAAAAATGCTGTAATAACCAAGTCCACACTAATGCTTGTCCATGCTATATGTGGATATTTACATAGTGATGACAGCCAAAGGTCAAACACTGTTCAAATGGGCATAAGATACATATATAGATATGTATGCATATATTAAAAAAACCCAACTTTCTACTAGTTCCATATATTAATAAAAAACATTCTTCACGGGTGTTTCTTCACACTGTGTCACATTCACAAGTAAGAAGAAAGCATTTTTAGCACTGTCTTGATGGGGAGCTGGGCAAGAAGTATTTAAGCTAACAAAGAGAAGCTTTTTTTTTTTTTTAAGAAAATTTTAGAGCCTTTATATGCATAGCAGTCTTAAATGGAATTACAAATATACCAAATTAAACAGAATATTTTAATGCCACTTTTGTACTGCCACTTTTCTATTATGTATCTACATTCAGCCTACCGTGTTACTGGTAACTTCCAGGTTACAATCAAATCTACAGATGCTGTTGCAATACCAATCAGAAGTAATAATTTTCAGATTGCTCATTTGAAGGAAAATTCATATTGGATTACAACAACTGGAGCCTAATTTCTTCCATTCATACTCTTGGGGGACAGGAAGTAGCACAATAATTTCCAGCCATCAGCAGATCAGACAGATATAAACTATAATCACTATATAGGTCTGAGATGGTGACCACACTTATTAGCCATAAACTTAAAAATCCAAGCATATAGAAGGGATACTGCCACTTTCCATTCCCATGAGTCTTGTTAGATGTAGACACTCAAAATTCTTCTTCTTCAACAGCAAAGTTATTTTGCTTCTTCCGAACATTCCAGTGTAAACACTCAGCCAAGCTTTCAAACCAGTCGCTCACAGGATCTCGGAAACAGATCGAAGGAAGGGGATAGCAAGAGGTAGTGATGCTAATACTGCAACAACACAGGAATACCCCAGTCAGTCAAGGTCAATGAATAGCAATTTAAAAAAAAAAAAAAAAATAAAAAAAAAAACTTCTATTCACTATCTAACTTAGTGCTATGTTCAGCCAATTTGGTAAAACAGCGAGCTTCCATAATCAAGCAACCAAGTCTGCAGGCTCATCTAAACAGAGTGAACACAGGGCTTAAAATTGTTAACAGATGCATTGTGGACAGCATTCTCTGACACAGTGAAACACTGAACCTGCTCCATGACATCCTGCAGTCTTTTACTGGTCTTCACATCAACAACACAGGGACAAAGGAAAATGTAAGTCACCCCCTTGGCCTTCAAGTTTCAAGTTTTAACTATAAGCAACAGCACTAAGAAGTCTAACATCTAACAAAGGGCTAAATCTCATGTTTGAATCCTTACTGGTCTCCTGATCTATTCCATAGATCTTTCAACCTCAGAAGAAATACAAACGGTTCATAATGGAGTGCCATGCCAGCTATACATTTTCCTTCCTGGCAACTGGAGGCCCTTCCAGCTATACATTTTCCTTCCTGGCAACTTGTATGGACCAAAAAAAAAAAAAAAAAAAAAAGTCATCCCAAATAGCAAGTCTGCCAGTCACATACCACACAGTTGCCTTAAATCACCTCCCATTAGGAAAAGCCACCACATTTTGTGCATAAAAACCGAGGAAACTTCGCACACTGCATTTCACTCACTCAAGGCAATGACCACAATCATTCAATACGTTAACACAGTTTAAACCATATGACATTATTCAGAGCCACTGCTTACGGGCAACTCCTGTTGGTTTACATCCTCCCAAACTCCTAAGATTTATCTTAAATTTAAATTTACAGAATTTTCTGAAAACACGTCCGCCAAGCATGCAACGTTTACATGCTTTTGTCTTAACATTTCACTTGCTTTCACAGGAAGATCTAAAAAGCTCAAGTTAGAAATTAAATACTCCCAGTGCAGTTAGTGCTGTAAGAGGTGTTAGGGTTTATAAAAGCTTGTTTCTTCACTGCCAGTAACCCTTTGGGCAGATATTAGTGAGAGAAGTACATGAATCAGTATTTTCTGTGCTTATGAAGAGATGCTACAATCAAAAAAAGGCTTAACCTGTCTCCATGGCATATTTCCTGCCTCTTCCTTCCATCAAATGAAACCCATGCTGTATTCCTGGCATCCGGAGAGAGCATAATCTGAAAAAGAGAAAAGAACTAAACTTCAGATCCAAACCCTATTTTTCCAAGAGCAAGGAACAAACACCTCCTCCATCCTCCCTCTGAGTACAGAATCGACTCTTCACAACTTTACAGGTGCACTGAAATTCATAATCTGTCCACAACAACAGTGCAGTAACACACCACACAAGTTCCTAAGCTTCATTTCATGTTTGGTGTATATATATATTTTTCTACATGCAGTAAACTCCCTCCCTTTTAAGTACAAGGTCATAAACTAGAAAGACCTTCCAGTTACAGCCAGTGCATGCTTTAATTCAGTTACATGAGTTGACTTTGCATCTCTTTCCAAAAAAATAAAGTTAATCCAGAAAAATAGATTTGAATACATAATGAATCTAAAGCTGTCAAATTTAGGAGATTTTGCTCATATTTAATAGAAAAGAATTGACTACCATTGGTCAGTAAGCACCCACTGACATGACAGTAATCGCAGACTGAGAGCAGTGCTGTGAATATTCAATTTATGTTGTAAAACAGGAACAAAAACCCAGTACACACTTATTTCTTAATGCTAATCTAATATCCCTAGGAGAGCCCTTCTAAACATACTAGCCCTCTTCAAACTTACATAGGCCGGAGGCTTGTAACAGATACAAGAAGCAGAAAGGGGTTCTTCCTTACACATGGGTATTTGTTAAAAATACAAACTAACTAAATCCATTTTATATTCAGGTATTACATGCCTTTTTTCTGCAAGACAGCATTAACAAAAAAAAAATTAGTGAATGCAGATAACTACCACTATACTCAAAATCTGCAACACTTAGTTTTTTAGCCACCAAAGTGTAACTTTTCATTCCTTTAAACACCACTGATTTACATGCACTTTAGCTGAAATTATGTAAAATGTTATTAGTCAGAATGCAAATGTATGCACTCCCATTTTGCAGAACATTACACAACTACAATCCAGTAGGAAGCAGTGAAAAGCATTCTGCTAGTGGGTATGTTATCTTAAACAAAGATGCATTCTTCAACTAGACTTGATCTGGTGCTCCTACAAATAAAAGAATGCAGGAGATAGACGGCATTTCCTAACCTCTTCTGCTTTGGTCAGGTTCACATGGTTATTACAAAAATTTTTATCTTGGAAAGAGAAATAACATAACAGAAGCTCACCTTGAGTTCCACTCCTGCAGGTACAACAATAGGTCTGAAAGACAATGAGTGAGGGCAGATTGGGGTGATCATTATTGCAGGAACATTTGGATGAATCATAGAAGCTCCTGCTGCAGCTGCATATGCAGTGCTACCAGTCGGCGTGGAGACAATGACTCCTGTGAAAGGAGCAAAAATTTCACTTACATTAGCATCACAATCAATGTGTTATTTTGGAAGAAGACTGAGAAATAGCACTGTTACGAAAATGAAGCAGAGAATGTATCAACTTGTATTTCACAGGAGAATTGCAGTCTAATATACAAAAAGTCAGAAACACTCTTCTAATCCTGGCACAGCAGGTTTGTTCTATGGCTTCATGGAAGTTGCATAAACTTCTAGATCTCAGGTTACACAACTTGGAAACAGTGACATTCATTCTTTTGAGGGTAAAAGCTTTAAAGACAAACTTCTGCATTGCATGAGTTGAGATCTTAGGCCTTCAGCAAATTCCAGATATCCAAGCAAATTTTTTCTGAGCTCTTTCTTGCCCTTAGTCCTAACATATCATACACAAAGAAACTCACACTTGCCTTCATGAGTCCATAAACAAAGCTTACAACACTTTAATGCTTCGTTGTGGAATGCATTAGTTACCAATGAATAAACATACCTATTCTTTGCACACTAATGTTTTCTGTCACCAGTGAACTGAGAGATTTTGTTTCCACGTGAGAAAATCCTCCAGCAAAACAGCCAGCAGTCTACACATGAACTGATAAGCTATTTAACTGAAGGAGCAGACTCACCATCTCCTTGCACTGTTGTTATCAGGTGTCCATCTAGAAAGACATCTACATTGGAAAGGTAGGAAGAAGGACCACGATCCACCACAACTTCATTTAGGACCTGCCATGACACCAAATATTACACCAGTCTGCTATTGCTGACTCGGCAATGTAATAAATGACAAGGCAAAACATGCTTTCCAGATCTGAAAAAATCCATGCTGATTTAGTACCTGCCAAATTAGACTCTCTTTGCGCTTCTGTCTTATCAAGTGCCACAGCTGAAGTACTTAGATGTTAAGAATTATTTCCAGAAGCTGATTACTAACAATACGCAGAGCTTTTCTTTTCACTTACAAAAAACTCTGGGATATCCCATGTTAGAACTACTACTTTGTTTTCAAAATAGAAGGAAAACATTACTGCAGGGAAGTACAATATTAGCACTTACCACTGCAAAAAGTAGTGAGGTACACCACTTTTGGTATACAGATTTGGTGCACACATTGTAAATGAGAGTGATATAGATCTGTCCCACACTATGAGGCTAATGTGAGTAAACTAATGAAAAGGGGAGATTTATAATAAAACAAGTACAAAACGTTTTACAAACAGCATATTAATACGTTCGCTTATTTTGCCCTCTGACCTGATATTGCATGATTTGCTTGCCCACTTCTTTCTCTATATTTGTAGACACCACTCCATTTTCTTCTATACCATTTTGTACCGTCATTTTCTCTCTGTGCTCTTTTACTACTTTCACTTTCAGCCTGCTTCGTAGAACAAGCGCTGCATTACCTAGAAGTGAAATACAGGAGAAAGTACACAAAATTATTTGCTAGTATAGCAAATAAAACCCTGTAATGACTAGCAAACTGTATGAAACACCATTCGTCTACTGCCCATGCTTTCAATGCTCCCAATTTCATTTACAAGATAATTGTCTGTATTTGGTTAAAGCTCAAAACTCATTTTTAGTAGCAATGAGCAAAATTAAAGTCAAATTTGAACCCAGTCCTTCCTTCCCTTTCCTCATGATGTAAAAAGACCATTTAAGTTTCATACGGACATGATCAAGATTGGAAAACACCATTAGGCTCATGTGATCTTCACTAAGACAAAAGCTAAGCTTGAAGAAAATCAGTGCAATAGGAACAAACACCTATTAAAAGACAGCATTCTAGCAACATGCGATTTTTATGCATCTTTTCAGGAATCTACTTTGGATGCAACTTAAATAATCTCATGTTGAAGATCTCTAAGCACTGCACTGCTTAGAGAAACAGACTACCACAGACTTCAGAGCTACGCTCTATTTGTATGTTTATCTGTCATTTAACATAAATTCTGCATCATCTTTTACTTGTTTACTCCACACAGGACAAAGTTATTTCTTAGCCATTTTCCTTTACAGAACAGTATGCAAAGCAGCACTGAATGGGTCAAGGCAATGCAATATTTTTGTTAGTTTAATATACATGCCTTGTGACTTAATCTTACGGGACAACCTAAATGAGTGGGTTAAGAAAGTTTACTAGTCTTGGAAAAAGCTACAGAAAATATAACAAAAAGAAACACCACACCTTGTCCCCTTAAATTTACCTTCTATAACCTGAGTGACTTGGGACTGAAAATTCTCAAAATTAAATGGAGTAAGAAATCCAAGGGATCCCAGATGAAAAGCCATAACTGGAGGTACACTACCCTATCAATAAAGAAAAGAATTTAAAAGCTACTGAATAAAAGCAATTCATACTTCAACTAATTGCCTGTAAATATTTTGTCTATTGATGTAATTTCAACTATGCATAATAAAACCAACACATTACATGTATTATTTTCAGAAGGTACAGGGTAAAACAGGCTTGATAAAAAAGAAGGAATGAACAGCAAAGAACAAATGCTGTCCTGAATAATCAAAGGGAAAAAAAAAACAAAAAACCAACCCAGCCTTCAAGTACTTGAAAAAGAAAAGAGGTCTTTAAATCTATTTCCCATAAAGACCAACCTGGAAAAGCGAAGAAGCATAAAGTAAGGTCCCATCTCCTCCCAGGCATATGATAAAGTCTATCTGGTTGGAGATATCATCATAATCTAGAAGCAACATTGAAACAAAAGTTTTAATTAAGTTTTATCAACAGTCTTAATTTCCTAACATTAATTAAGTACAGCATGCCAACATTCACTCAGAAATATAAAAAAATAACCCAACTAATGTAGCAACAGTTGTTTGCAAAAGCCACGTTAATTTTACAAACTTGACCCAATGACTAAGGAAACACCAAGACAAATAAGCAATATACTTCACATTTACTTTCAAGAAATCATTACCGTACCTTCTCTGAAGGTGCAAAATTTCTTCTTCACTGGTCCAAAATTATCATCATTAGCTATAGCGGGGTCTTCCAATACTTTTTTTTCTACATACACTATCATATTGTTCTCCTTAAAAGCAGCAAGATAAGCTTGTTAATAACCTCTTAAAAATGACAAAATATTTGACTCTCCCTCTAATTTGCATTAGTTTAAAACATATAAATAATATTCTACAGAAGTGGTCTGCATCTGTTGGTTGTGGGATTTATTTTTAATGTGTGGTCTAATTCTAATGTGAATTTTGCAGCATGCACAGACCATCTCATAAGTTAAACTAAACTTTGGAATATAGATTATATGCTACAGTAACATTGCTGTTTGTTCAAGGCTTAAAAGTTTTTATATCCCATTCCCTGCAACTTCGAATTGCAAACAGAATTAAGGAAAGTTTTGACTTTTTTTTTTTTTAAGCTCTGTACTTGAAGTACTTATGTACTGATCTTAAGCTCTGAAACAAGTTTTACTACTTCCAGTGGCAATGGGTAAAATGATCTGTTCGCACTATACAATTCTGCACATTCCACATTCAACAGAATCAGTAAATGAAAACAGTTTAGATGTAAAATTTTTAATTATGGTAAAAAATGGAATTTACATCTCATTACCTCAGTAAGATAGACACAAAGCTCTTTAAAAGGCTGCAGCAGACTGGCATCACGTATCTTTTTAATAACGAGGACGCTCTTGGGAGGTTTGTTCCATGTCAACCGCTGGCTTGCTGGATCCTGAATGTGCCTAGAGAACAGAAAAAAAGACAACATTAATACATTTTTCTTAAACAACGCTCTGGTCTGTTACAAACACATCCTTAATTGTAATTGCACTCACTCCTAGGACAATAGAAAGAAGGATGCAATAGTTCTCATTGCAATGATGCTTTTTCCCCCCTGAAACCAATCAACGCCTCACTGTATTGAGATGGTAACACAGTATTAAGGCGTCCATTCTTGTAACCGCTACCATGCTAGTAACACCTGCAAACAGGGACATTAACAGAAGCACTACAAAAGCTCTTGGATCAAGTTCCTGAACTGACTGACATCTTCCCTGACACTTCCAGCCGTAATGCTTTCCCCATCTTAGTGCCCTCTCCTCTTAAGCTGACTCAAAAGACAGGGAAACATCCAATCAGGATACCAGAAAAAGCTACAATGCAAATGTAAAAAATAGTGCAATAGTTCCAACCCAAATATTCTTTTTTTCTTTTCAGCAATGTTTCCTTCAGCACTTTTTCCACTGATACCAGTATACAGTCACAGTTTTCTCAACACAGTTTGAAGCCTATAGATGCAGACATAAATTCTACAGTTTTTTACTAATACTAAACAACAGTATCACAAGAGAAGGGCAAATAATCAAGACTGACGTGGTCATCTGTACTAAATCCTCAAGATAAGCCTTAACAACTATGAAAAAACTATCGTACAAAAACTCTATTCTGGGAAGTCTGCATTTGCAACTCAGACTTCTTAACATAAAGTCTCATAAATAAAGGGCTTAAAAAGGAACAGACCCCTGTATATTTCTTGTCCAGGCAAACACTGCAGACATCTAAGCATACATAACTTTTAGGCAAAATTTCTTTAAAGCCCTAACCTATGCATTAATTTTATTCTAACGTTAATCCCAAAACAAGTTTATCTGCTTAAAGTAGCACGACCACTACTTTAAATTAAAAAAACCAAAACAAACCACACCACACCAAAAAAACCCTTGAAGTATTTTAAAACTACTGTCTGCCTATTGCAGGACAGCATTCTAAGACTTGAGAACCTCAAGAACTAAATACATGTACATGAGTAATTTTGCAGCTTTCAAGAGGGTTCAGTAACAGAACCCTCATGTTGCTCTATAATATATTCAGTTGATTTAGGAATACCCAGCTATATTTTCCTTCTTTTATACCAACTTCTAAGCTACGTAATTTCACAGTTGTATTTTGCACATTACAATCATCTCATCCTTTCCCATACGGTGCAGATATAATCCATAAAGCAAAGCAGATTAGTATAAATGCTGAGCAAGCCAAATTTACAGAGAGATTTGGATTTAGCGCTTCAGGGGTTAAAATAAAACTGATGATGATGCTGGAGGTGGAATAACCTGATCATTTTACTCTCCAAAATGCCTCTATTCTACACATAAACACAGCAGAAACTATAGATCAATGAAGTAGAATACCAATAACCTTTACTAACAAACAGTGCTGTCTCTCTCTCTTCTAAATATTATTACCCAACACAGAAAAACACAAATACGCAGTTACATTCAGGCTTTCAACATTACATTATGTTTCACCTCATTGTATTTTACAGTCAAGGAATCACAGAATATGAGGAGGTTGGAAGACACCTCTGGAGATAGCCTGGTCCAATCCCCTGGCTCAGTATCAGGGCGTTTTGAAGATACTGTACTCTGTCTCAACGAACCTGAGATGACTATGAATTTGGAAGGCTTCCTCTGAATTCACTAACCAACCAATAGCTAAACTGAAAATAAAGTAAAATAATAAAATAGAGAGAGTTGCGTTAATGTGCTTATTGCTGCCAAACAGTTGCAAAGGAACTTAAGATGAAGTTTATCTACTATAGTGACTAAGGAAGCATTTTCTATACTAAAGTTCATTTCATAAAATTAAATTCCTCAAATCTCAATACTATTAAAAGGTAAAACATACACACAGAGAAACCACCCCCAAAACCATTTTAAGATGATTAGGCTATCTTCTAAAGCTGGCAAAGAACTAAAGATTGCAGCACTGTTTTTCACTTAATAAACATAGAACTAATACAGACTTCATTCAAATGAAAGACTGCCTATTTCAACTGTACTCACCAATTCCAGGCAGTCCTACTAAACGAAAGATTATTCATAACATGCTTTAAGATCTTCATGTTTCTTTCCAGGAGTCAGGCAAATGCAACAGCTCCAAAAAAAAAAAAAGGGCTGAGGCTTTTATCCCTTTATTAATAAAATGCTACCTCAAAAGAAAACATTTTTCTCCGACTTTTTTTCCCCAGTTAAGTATTTCAATCAGTCCCAATAAAAAGTTGTGAAGCTTTACAGAAAAATCCTGTATAAAGCGTTTATTATTACAGATCTTCAGAGGCAAGATTTCATAAGGAAAATCCCATTTCAAGAAAAAGTTTAAAAACAGGTATTTGACCTCCTCACCCCTCAGCAACACCTGATTCTTTTTTCACTGAATAGCCATTCAGTTCATCTGGTCATCTCGCAGAACAGCCTTCGGAAAGCAGGTTTTTCAATACAATCATCAACACTAGCACTTAACAAGACACCAAGACCTTCATTAACTTATGCCCGAACATAAAATCTAAAATTTTCTGTTAAAAAATTCTCTCCAGTTAAGAGAGTTTTACAGTATTACTGACTGTAGAAAAGAAAAAACCCAAACGAAAAGGTTTTCCTTGTTTTTAGAAGCCACAACAAAAACCTTACATATACTAAGAATAGTAATTTACAATGTGGTCTTCAAGTAGTCCTTTCCTTCAGTCACCTGAGCACATCCTTTTCTCCCAAGCTATTCTGAACACTGCAGAAGCAGCCTCTTCCCTGGCAAGTAGTGTGTGTTCAGCATTGCCTGCAGCCTCTGTACTCAACCGATCTTGACGCTATGGTTATATTGTACCAGGCCGGCCCAGCCCCTGGGGAGGAGCATGTGAATTCACCACAGTCAGGCAGGTAAACCTACAAAGCAAGCTGGGCTTTCAGATGAACCGCAGCACTCCGAGCCACCAACTTTAGAACAGACAGAAAGAATGAGGAAGCTGAAAGTTACTGTTAACTGCAAGATTTCCGCCACACCTTTGTGGGAAAAGTTAGGATACCACCAGCCTGTTTTGAGGAAGACTACTATTATTTAGGTAAAGGTTTAGGCAAATAAACACTTAATTCAAATATCTTACGTTTCACTGAAAGAACAATTAAATAAAACTTTTTAAAAGGACAAAAATAGCAACCACTAACTTGGTTAATCTGCAGAACCCCAATACTCCTTGTTTAACTAACTCAAGACACCATTTGGTGAGTGTGTAATACATTGTGTAAAAAGCAACACTTTTATACCACCCAACCTACAAAATTAAAATGTTTATACACCTAGTAAGCAGAAATCAATCCTTATTTTCACATAAATTTAACCAGCAGAGTCTAAAAGCATGCTTGCCTTACTGATACTCTTCCACTGAAAGTGCCATAGATCAAATATGAAAAATCAAACCACTAGCTCAAACACATAATACCAAGAGAGGGAGAAGGCTTTCCTCAGATTTCACGGTACACAGAACAATTTCTCCTCCTTTCCTTGTATTGTCCATAAAAACTTTTGTTCCTCCATCATTCAGAAACACTCTTCTTTATGTATTCCAAGTTGATGAAATAAAACAAAAAAGCTACCAATAGCTTCTCCATACCATACTTAGACTGCTATAGTGGTGTTTAATACACATGGTGCATTTACTGTCAATTATGTTGGAAAGTGTTTACTACAGTTGCCGTTGTTGACATCAAACTAAGGATTGCAGATTATGCAAAACACGTCTAACCAAAATTTCAGTACTTAATACTATTCACATGCCCTGCTGTATTTTTATATGAAATGGTTAATTATTTTTTTCCAAAATAGGTAATACTGAGCTGTGAGAAAACTCCCATTAGTTTAGGGAGTAGATAATGGGCCTAAGAATACCACATGAATTAGTCACGTAAAACCAGTAAAATTAATCTCCTTTCATGTCTGTTACCCTGCAGGAAGTACTCCAGCTGGCAAACCCACTATAAAAATCCATACAGAGAAACACCAATTGTGTCCTATCACCCCTTGGGAGAAAAAAGAACCAATGACATTCAAACCCATATTATACTTTTCAACATGCAGATCAAGCTAACGCACATCTAATGGGGTTTTACTTGAGAATACAGCTGAGCAGTGCTATCCATTCTTCTCTCAGACTGACTTTTTAAATGGTCAATGTGGGATAAAAATGGCAGGCCAATTTTGGCAATGCAGACCCCAAGCTGGCAATGAAGCAACATGAAAATCTCTAAATCAGGTAAAATACAAACAGTGCTGATTAGGGGGTGAACAGTGGAAAAGCAAACTTATCTTTTTTCCCCCGTAAAATAAGCATAACACCGTTCATTTGACAAGTACTTACATAATCGTTTTAGGATTTTGCAGCATACAGGCCTTTGGTCCAAATGTGGTCACTGGGCATGGTCCATGCAAGGAGCGTGTTCTCCTAAATATATAATAAAAATAATCAATAAGGAAAAGAAATGGATGACAACCCGGGTATAATTAGCTCCCCAACCACCAAAACTACCTCTTTGAAAAATTTGTACTAGGCAATACAGGGCAAAGTACGTTTCTTAACCTACATTTGAGGTTGACCAGCCAACGTAATTTTACACGTATTAGCTCTCACAGTTCCAATCTAAAACTTAACTCCTGTACCTACTCTTTGAAAGCTATTTTAATCAAAGCCTCGCTCACAGTTTATCCCCTCCACATACTGAGTAATCACTTCCTAAATACTAGTAGTGGGCACATATTCTTGTAATATTCATTTCACCCTCACTTTGCACAAGGGAAGCATCACCACCTCAAGGAAGATATGGTCAAGTCTTCTCAAGTTGGTTCTGTGAATTCATGTCAAGCCTGCAAAGATTCTATTTAGCCTCAACTCTTCCGGACACTACAATACAGAACAGTAGATGTGTGTCTCAGCGAGACCAAAAAAATGCATAGATAAATCCCAAATTATAATAGCCAACATGATAGCATAACCAAGTATTTAACACTTTGAGTACCCAACCAGGTACTTGAGAAGTTGACTGAACATTTCAGATTTTGTAGGGTGTTATTTAATAACAGAGAAATTATCAAGTGAGAGACTTGTGGCAATGTTCACAAGAAACTCAAAATACCTCTATAACAACACTAGTGAGCAAGAGAGCAGCAGGTCCATTTTTTGTTATGTAATTCAGTAGTCTCACAACCTTCACTTAACAACGATGCCAAATCAATTAATTAAAATACAAAAGATAAGTCAGGGCTTTTGTTTATATAGTATAAGCACTTTCTCTTCCATAATATTTTGGCAAGCATTCATTTCTGTGGACAATGAATAAGCAAACTAACCAACCATACAGACAAAAACCAAAAAAAAGCCCAAGACTGTTGCTTTCAGGCCATGTTCTCAGAAAAAAACCCCTACAATGATGGTTAACTTTGTGTCATTACTGCGTGTAAAGGATTAGTCTGCATCAATTACTAGGTGACATCAGCTTCCCTGCTGCAGACAAAATAACCACGATACTTCCTTTTCTGTATTTCTTGAAGCACTACATCTCACCTAAGAGCACACAGTTTTAGAACAGGACATTCAGAATGATTAAATGTGGTATAAATACATACAAAATAACTTAATGAGAGCTCTTTATTTCAATAAGGTACAGTAACGTACGTAAGCTAGGTTTCCCAGTGTAAGCCTTGACAAGCATTCACAATGAAATCTCCAACATCAAGGCAATACCTTCAGATTTTTTTGCCATGGTCACGTCACAGTAATGGTGTCCTGATCATTTCAACACTTTTTTTTGTGTTTAAATCTTTGCCTGTAATAAATTACTAAAATGAAATTCCTTCAATTCTAAGGTACATGGAGATATATATCTGCAATCAGTTCTAAGGTACATGGAGATAAATATCTGCAATCCCAGGCCTTAGTTAGTTTTGTTACATACTAAGTTAGTTCTCCATAGTTTTTCATTTTGTTTCCCACCCTGCCTCTTACAGATTACATTCAAAACAGTTCCCTTTTCTTTCCATCACCTAAAACCACACAGAATCCAGGATTTTGACTTTGCTAAAATAGGCAATTCAAGCAGAGCTTTTACTAACCAAAACCATTTCTTCCTAGGTATTAAAGTCATACAGAAATCTACAAACAAGAAATCAACCACTATTGACTGAAACTACTGAAGTCTGAAAAATCTTTGGTTTTTTACTGCTGAGAAAGACTGGGGTAATAATTCAGTCATTTAAGCTGCGGAGTACCTATTAGGTTAATTTAATGTCCTGAAAGATGTATAGAAGACATCCTAGGCTGAGATTAAGGCAGGTAGAGACAAGCAAGAAGTAGAAAAACCCACTATTTGAAAACATAGAAAAAAAGTGGGGTTATTCCATTTATTTAATAAGAGCTAATATAATCTTTGTCTTCAAAGAAATGGGGGCTCTGAAATATCATTTATCCTCAAACTTAAATCCCACCCAGAACACAGGATTACTCCTTGCTCTAGATTCCCTCCCACCTCCTTCAGCAAACCTGCAAATGGGAGTAAAACTTACTCAAGCCATGTAACTCTTGAAACATTATGTAAATGCTATTAGAATTATTCCATTAAAAAGAACAGGAAAGATGCCTTTCCTGTGCTTAATTCAATTAACACAGGAACTGGTAACTAATCTATTGCTTGGCAGTAATAAATTATTACTGCACTGCCTTCCATTGCGTGTATTATAAAGTAGCTCAGACCAGCCTGATGATTCACTCTTAATACTAAAAAAACCCTCAGAAATCTAATAAAAATCAAACCCAGATATAATAAAAAGAGATAACTAAGGAATAAGAGCCACGTCTTATTTGTTCCATGTCTAAGAAGATATGTGTAAGATTTTAATTTCAATAATGAAAACAAGTATTTCATTTCTTACGTTGAACACATAGAAGTGATAATTGTTTTTCAAATAATTTTTTCCATTTATAAATCCAGGCATGACTAATCCAGTCAGATAAGATTATTACTAAATGTTTTCTAAAGTTTACCTTATTTATATTAAAACAGAAAAATGAGCAAGGACTGACATAATTAGAGATTAAATATGTACCAATACATGTAAAGGAATGACAAGTCTCCATCTACTCGTGAACAATTACACTTGAAATCAAGACAGTGAAGTAACACCCTGGTAACATCACCTCCCCCTTCTTGCTCCACTCAAGCCTCTCCCACCACAGGTCATTATTCCATGCCACTCCTGACACTTGGCTAAACTCTGTTCCTACAATAGGCATTAGATATCCACATCTCGCCTTCCTGACATTCAAACAAAATTTCCCCTGCAATCCCTAATTAATAATTGGTATATATTTTGCTTGAGATTTTACCTGGTTTTGTTAGTACTCCACCTATGCACTATTCAGAAAAGAGAAGGTAAAACGTTTGAGTGAACAGAATTTAAAGTTGTTTGTACTAAGACTGTCTTTGCTAAGAATGAGCAGCAACGCACTGGAAATCATACACCTTTCAGGCAAATATACTTGCCAGCTCAAAGCAGACAGGCGACTACTGCAATCTGAGCACTACACAGCGAGCCTGAGATCACTTCCTGACATTCTGCAAAATGCCTTGTGACAGTTTTGCACTAAATTGAAGACAGCCAGTGAACAAATGCAGAGAATCTTCACGACAAAAAAAATCTTGTAAACAATAACCCTAATTCAAACCCACAATGGGTAGGGTCTACAAAGATCGCTTCTAGTTTAAAGAAGTAGTTATTTAGCTAGAAAATGATAACACACAAATTTAGACCACATTGTCTTTTTACACATGTTGACTGAAGTCTACATTCTTAAAGTTTTAAGCGGAGAAGTAAGTGGAAACACTAGTTTCACAGCATGCTTTTAACGTAAAGTCTTACGTATTGACTGACACACAAAGTAGCTAGAACAGCACAGTCCTTTGTGAACATTTCCCAAAAGCATTTAAGTACACTGATTTTCTGAACTACGTATGCAAAGCAACGATTTTCCTAACATTTTTGCCTCTTCAGATAAAGGCTTTTGTTATGCCTCCCTTCACCACAAAGCTTCCCCCTGAGATCTTCAGCCTCTCCCATATACGCTCTGCCTTGCAAGAGCATTCCTACCAGCAAAGCAGTAACTCTGGATGAGAATTTCAGCTGTTGAGAAACTCCTCCATGATTCTGTCCGTGCTTTTATAGAGGGTCACAACGTAAGGTAAAGTTCTGCTATGCTTCCCACACACTGCTACCACAGCATGCTATTCAGACTTCACAACGGGTCCAAAGATCATGAAATCAAAAGTTCTATCCAGGCTGTCCACATGACAAGAAATTTGGCTCAAAGAAGAAAATGGGTGTTTCTCACTGCTGTGAAACAATCTGGAAGGACAAACTTACTTTGTGCTGTCTCACATTACCATATAACCTAAATACACAGGTTTTTAATCACACAGCACTAGAGCTCTGGCTAGAGCATTTGTAAAAATTTGCAGAAGTGTCTCTACTGTTGATTAACTCTTTTTTGAGACTATGAACTCTGCAGATAACCGTTTTGAGAACTATGTCATTTTGATTACAGGTCTGCTCTTAGTCGATCCCCACCTTTAAATTCCTGCCTTCATTTTGGACTAACAACCTTTTGAAGTGCGTTTTAAGAATCCCTTAAAAGCAACTTTTTGAATAAGGGGTAAAGTTGTGCCTACTAATTAAAGATCTGGAACCAAGCACAAAACTGTTCCTTTCTTGTAACCTGAGCAACTATCAAGCTATGAATTAACACAGCTCAATACATATGCATTTGTATTTTATTTCTGCAAGGTATTTAAAATTTCTGAAGCTAGGTTGAAATATGACAAATATCATAGTAGTCAAAGTTCAAATCTACCCCAAACCCCTGGAAGTCAAGTACTTGGGCACAATGGGTTTCTCAAATTTGAAAATTAATATTTTGTGTTTATCTGCTTATAAACAATAACCTTCTAAGCTTTTATACTTTAAGAACTTCTCCTAGCTGGAAATATACCCATACTTTCTTAACTTTCTTACTAAGAAGTAATTTCAATACATGACATTACAGATAGGAGTTTTACGTGCAGTTTGTCTTCAAAAAAAAAAAAAAGGATCTATTACATTTCACATAGCCATTTCCAAATGCAAACACTTTCTTGAATCCCAACTCTGACATACTCACTTCAGACAGCATTTAAATGGCATATGCTCATTTAAATGAGCAACATGTTGTCTTGCTGAAGCTGTATATGCACATCTAGAATGCTGCTGAAATACCTACAAAAAGCAGTTTAAGAGCTCCCAAGAAACACTGAAACCGAAGGCAGGCCTCACAACCAGGGAGAACCTATTTACATGAACGTCAATTTAGAAATAGCCACCTACGCAGCTACTTCAGAAAACCAAGCTCTTTGCACAGCATGGACCATAATCATGGTTCACTAATCATCTCCCTCCCATTACCACAAAACACTGCTGTTACTTCTGTTCCTTATCACTTGTCACAGCTGCAAGACCATAGTTATATAAGAAGAGTAACAATTAAAATCTAGACAACTTTTTTTTTTTTTAAAGTATTTTTTTCATTTTTTTTAAAGGTAGCAACAATAGGAAGAACCAAGACCCGTACCGGAATTCTTTGGTGCTTCCTAGGGCTGGTGAAGCAGACAAACTTCGTGACTTAGCTCGTCCCCGGCTAGTATTGCTCCACTCCTCATCATCATGACATGTTGAGCAATGATAAGCAGAATCTGAGCTCACATCAGCCTTGCTGGTACACAGTTTTTCTCGATTCATCTCCATACTGGAAGTGAAGGAACCTCAGTGAGAGAGAAACTCAATTCCTGTGGAAAAAAACAGGAGAAAGGGGATAGGGAAGAGAGAGAAGAAAAATCTCAGTATTAGCAAAGCTAACAGAGTAAGTCTTAAACACTGAGTTTACCCACTTTGATAAACACTTGGTGAAAGGATCTGGGCAACTGAGAAATTCTTCAAGGTAATCAGAAGACACTGGAAGGAAAACAACCAGAATTAAAGCACATATGTTCCCAGAGTTCGAAGAGGCTCAACACAAAGTTTTTTCAAGACCAGCACAGATTCACATCTCCAGTTATATATGGGGTAAAATAAATTCGGTTTAGATACTGAAGAGGAAGAAAAGCTTTAACTATTTGCCAAGGAATCAAGAATCAATACAGTGTCTCCTCTTAGGTGATAAATACATTGAACAAATAAAACTGGAACACTCTAAGCTGTAAGAGAAAAAAAAAAAACTGTCAAAGTAAGCAAAAAAATAATGCAATAGAGATACCTTTAATTAACTTCAGTTCTTCACAAAAATGAGATTAATACCAAGCTGAGAAAACACAAAAAACAAGTTGGAGGATGATACCGAAGTTCTTAAATCATTTGTGACAAACTGGGGAGATGGTCCAAAACAAACAAGCTGAAAGAAGGACAAATGTGAAGTATTTAATTCCACAAATAATCAGCACAAATAAAAGATAGCAGCTGGCTAGACAGCAATTTTGCAGGTAAAAAAACCCAAACCAAACCCCAAATTTAAATAACCATCCTTCCCCAAAAGTACTAAAAATCCCGTACGTAAGTTCTTATTTTTATTTGAACCAAGCAGAAGCAGCCTTATCAGAATATGAATAGAAAGCAACTTTCAGTGTGTGAATAAACACCGAACTACAAGCAAATAGCATCTAAGATAATTCAGTCTAGAGGAACAGTACATTCCCTCAAGTCAGTTGATTTCAACACAGGGAAAAAGTTAAAAATTTGCAGTTTTCAAATGTTTTCAAAACAGTTCATCACTTTGGATGTGCTTATCCCTGTATCCTGTAGAGAATGGACCATAACATTATTGTAACCATTAAAACAGACTATGGCGCTGGAAAATACTCATAGAATAAAGATATTTGGCTGTGTACAAGTACTGTGTTTCACAGCATCCCAGCCTTTAAATAACAAAAGCATCAATAAAATGAAATTGTAATTTTAGAATGAGCACCGGCTCATTACTAAATTAAGACAGAACAACCACCTAATAAAATTAGAAAATACTGTTGCTCCTACTGTAGATTAGGCTTACCCTAAAAGAAGACCACTACAAAGAAGTACAATTACTGTCATCCATTAATAATTTATAAGATCCTGCACTTGTAAAGATATCAATGTTTAGTTGTTGGTTACTCATTGCTTAGTACCACCTGTGACCAGGACTTGGGAAACAGTCATTTCAACTTTTTTTTTTTTTTTCCAGCTGAAATTAGAAAAATGCCACTCCATTCTTAAGACAGCTTTAAGCTTAACATAAACGTTGTGCTGGCTTGTTGATTTACGCACTTAATTACTCTGATCATGCAAGCACATGTGTAAAACAGACTGTAAAATCTGACTCAAACAGCAAATTATTTTTAATAGATTTTAATTTGTATTACTCTTTTATCACAACCTCATCAAGCTTCAGGAACACATCTCTGGCTGGTTATTGCTGAACTAGCTACAGGAAACAAGTCACTTAGCTATCCGAATTTCAGAAAAGAAGTGACTTTAAAATGAGATATTCAGTATCTCTGACTGGAAAGGGTCTTTCAGCATCTGTGTGTGCATGAGGAAAAGTTCTTATGTTGTTTGTTCTTTAAATCATAACCTAAATTAGCCCACCATTTTTACTTCAGAGATTCCTGGTAGATTTAAACAAGCATTTCTGATGGATTCCCCCCCATGCAAACTGGATTCTGAATTAACAGTCTTCCTCATCAAATACAGAAAGTCAAAATGTTAAGTTCTGAATTTTAACAAAGAGGGCTTTATCCAATAAATTGAAAAAGTTTTTAAAACAGCCATAAAAAGTTAGAAAACGAGACATTCATTTACCATCTGTTTGTAGCTACTGACACTTGTAATGCACTAGTTAAAGGCCTATCAATGAACATATCTTAAAAAAAAAATCTAATACCTTAACTTTTACTTTTAAATCTAAGGATTATTCTCTGTAACATGAAATCATTCTTGTATTTGGTATATCTATTTCCTAGGGTCCAAACAGGCTTCTCCAGCACCTTTGTATAGCCAGACTTCCACACACTTTACCATCTTTCTGGTTTTTAAGGAATTACAGATCTGACTGTATCTTTACTGGAGTACCATGCTCTTAGCTAATATTAACCAAAAGTATGATAGTGAGTCAAGGCTAATGATTAGTACACATGAATACATTCCATTTTGTAGAATCAGCCAATAAAAGTGCTGGAGATAATTATGCATCAATGGAGGAGATCAGCTCCTCCAGAATAATCCAGACAGGAAAAAAAAAAATACACTGGAAGTGGTGGAGGAGAAAAAAAGATACCAACAACCACTGCAACCGTGTTTTATCATCAAATTTAGAAAGCAGGTATTTCCAAAAGAAACCCTGTCCTCACAGAATTACCCTAGGAAATTATAGAAAATAGTTGTTTTGATCTGTATCATAGGTTAGCTCTCAATACACACAGCTGCTAAACCATTTCAGAAATACCGAGAGTGCAAATCAGTAGTGAGCAGTCTCTCATCTCCTCTCACCTATCCCCAGCAACGTACTTCTCAAAGATATTCATATATCCACATATACATATCTGCACTATGCATCCGCAACCAAAAGTCAGAATTATAACTTTTTCTTAAAAATCTGCACCGCAAAATGGGCACACAAAAAAGTTTGACAAGCCCAGGTAGTTAACAGTACATAATTTTCTTTTGCTTCCCCATTACATAGGTTATCAACTCCTCACTCCTTTTTATCCAAACACTGAGAGCTTGATTTGGGCCCAGGAAAATAAAAATTACAACAGTTAAACTTATGGAAATGCAACATCCGTGAAAGTAGTTTATGGAGAATTAGTTTTCTCAGGAACTTAACAGTTGATACATAACACATTCTGTTCCACAGCAGCGCCCTTAACATTTAATAGGTGCAGAGGACAATAATTTATATAGCAAGCAATAAATAAGGTTGTGTTTCCAAGTGACTTTATCTGAAGTATCTTCGTCTGACAGATGCTGCCAGTAAAGAAAATCAGATTAGCACAAAACTGGAAGTAAGACGGTGTACAGACCTACTAAATACAGCCTAAGAAGTTGATATTCCTCCCATGTAATACTTTCCGATTCAGGATGTTTTAGCTACAGCTTACACTGTGTACTGTTTAATTAATACTCCCCTCACAAGACCTTTATTAAATAAGCAGACTTGACATAAAAACAAAACTATCGCTGAACATGCTTCCAGGATTAGATCCAAAAAACTTTAAGCACGTGTCAACAAACTAGTGAAAAGGCTGCTCTGGTCTAAGTCGTGTCCAAAATTAAAAAAAAAAAAGTACTTAGATGTTCAACATTACAGAATGAAGGCCAACTGAGAAAATGTTAACACTTAATATTAAATTTCTGTGATGGAAAGTAGCCAGTTGAGTCACCTCTCATACACACCCAACCTTTTACTGTAGTTTCCCCATCTTCAGCTTCTCTGTCGTTATAAATGAATGCTCACATTAACCAGAACTTCACAGAGGTTTCATCAAACCATCTTCATATGGAAGGATACAACACCATAACATCCCCAAAGTTTTGCTACGCTGTTCAGACTCTTACTAAGGAGTCAGACACCAGGCTGACTGCAAGAGTTCTAGTTACAAAGAAAGTCTGACACAGTTCTACTAAGCTTTCACGTATGTAATCCACATCCTGATGGCCAAGCAAGAGTTACGCGTGCTCACATCTTAAAAAGCCATCTTCTCCACCGTTTGGTCACACTGAATAGCGTACAAAGAAATACAGTCCTTTGATGCGAGCGGTTACACAAGGAGCATAAAGCTGCAAAACGTGAAGTGATTTAGGGGATTGGTTTTTTTAGTGAGCAGCCTTGTAAGCTGTTATTTTGTAAGGAACTCTTCCTGTCAAAGGCATTGCCCTAAATCATTAGAGGATTACTGCAGCGTCCATCCTGACCAAATACACTACTTAAAAGAAGTGTAAAAGTACATGCCTCGTAAACTGCAGCATTTCTATTCATTTCTTAGACATTGCATCAGCCACTCAAAACTACTCATTTTGTACCTTATTATCAACCTGGTATTAGGGCAAAAGAGGGCGTTACATCCAAAACCAGTACCACTTGCCCCATTGCTACATCACTCAATTCTTAATCGCTTAATTCTGTGGAGAAGGTTTTTTTAATATATTTTGTGAGATATATATATATTTATATGTTTATATTTATATATTTCGCTGAAGAAAGCACTCCAATAGCTATTATATGCATCTGACTCCATCCTTAAGGCACTAAACCTCCTTTCACACAAAAAAGGAGGAACAACCGTATCAGGTAGACAAAACTTCCTTTTTCGTTTAGTTTAGAACTTCATGTTCTAGTGTGCCTGAAGGAAAAAAAAAAAACAAAACCAAAAATAATATTCCCTATTGAAAATTCGCAGTCTGACAGCAGTTGAAATTTCGTGGTGTGGTTTTTGATTACATACTCAAGTGCCATTTCTACTAAAAAGCGGACAGTATGACTATCACGTGTCAACCCCCCCGGGAAAACAAGTCCGTTTGTTAACCCTTCGCTCCGGAAACACCAACACCCTCACCTGCGATGCCGAGGAACAGGCACGAAGAGCCTAAAACTCCTCGCCACCCCTTTAGTCAAAACCGCGGGTGTTCAAAACAACCGCGGAGGCGTTCAGCGCTCGTACCCGTCAGCCGATCGCACCTCAGGGTTCCTCACCCCTCACGTTACCGGAGCGCACCGACGGTGCGTCCGGGTCGAACAGCCCTCCCGGGTTTGCAGGCGTTACCTGGAAGCCC